GGAAACAAAAGGAAAATCCAATGCTTAGTTTGGAGAACACATATTTTTCAGTTCCAGGCCAGTTCCCAGTCAGAGGAGCAAAAACAGGAGCAGAGCAAAATAAAGCTCATTTGATCCTCAGTGCAAAAGGGAGAAGCAGTCTTTACCCTTATGGAGTCAGCCTTTCTTGTTTTCTGAACATCCTCAAGCCATTTTCTGATTAAATAAAACAGTCTGAACTAAACATGTTACTTGGTATTTTGCTTGAATGAGGCCTAGTGCCAGCAGAATACAAAGGGTTATTAATCTGCAGAGAGTCCCAGTCACCAACTGGCCAGAGAAAAAAAACAAAATTTGTTCTTACATATTCACTGTAGACAAATCTTGCTATGAAGATACATTTTTGCAGGTCCTGACATGGAATGGTTAATTTTGGTTTCTCTCTGGTAGGGCCCACTTTGCAACTTTCCCTGGACTTGAAGCAAGCCCTGATTTTAGAGGGCGTTAAAAATATACTTATTCATGTAGTCCTTTTCAAGTATTTTTAAGCATTTTATTTTTTGATTTAATAATATCTTACTGTCTTTGTGTGCTATTTGGAGATGTTAAAGAGAGGGAACATAATACATTTTCTAAATAAATAAAAGATATTTCTCTCTGGTGATAGTGATTCCTTCTGGATATGTTAAGCTATATCAGCTTGCAAATGGAATATCATCTATTGGTTCTTTTGTCCTTGATGACTACTTTATACCAAGAATTCTGCCAAATATTGCTCCATTCTTTAAAGATTTCAACTTCAAAACACATTACCATTACAGAGTATCATACATCTGACTAAGCCCCTAACAACAGCTTTTTTCACGTTCATGGAAATCAACAGGTTGGGCTGTTTTCATGAAGAGCAGAAAGATGCTAAGCTAATACAAGGTCTGAAACAGTTCTTCCAAATAATTTTTAAATGTGCAACCCCAATAAGAAACTTTAGTTTAGAACATTATATGTTCTCATATAATCCAAAATGGATGTTCACTGTATAATGACTAAGTCTCCTCAAAGAAAACTGCACATCTCTAAATAATGCAGAATCTCTAGACAATCCTATCTGAACTCCTGCAGAGGTGTTGCTGGTCTGTAAACAAATTAACTAGACAGGCATAATTCAGTAATTTCTAGATATATTTATTTAGCCAGTTAAGAGACAGACATATGGGTAATGAATGCATCATATGGAAAGCCCCTTTCTAAAATCAAATAGTTGAAAATAGCAATTTAATTTTCAAAATCTGGATTTTGAAGTTGAAAGAAGCTTAATAGTCCCTCTGTGAAAGATATAAAATCTGCTTAATAAGAGAAATCATATTTTATGAGTACATATATGTAATGCAAGGTATTAGAAAAGTAAACCAGACATCCTTTGGCATATACAGCTGGGGTTTGAGCTAATATTTCCTTATATTTCTTTGCTAGTGTTTTGAGTTCACATTTCACATATATAAAATTAATTCAAATTATTTGGATTAATTTCAATTCCTGTTTTTATTATCTTTTATAATCCCTCTCACAACTGTGATTAATTTATTCTTGTTTTTACTGACCTGGTATCTTTCACATGTAGAACACAATTCTTACTTTTGGCCATGCTGTCTGGGCTCTGTGATTGAACATATTTGGAATTACCAAGCTGGGGAAGTGGATTTATTCTGTTTGGCTGGGGAATAGTAGAAGAATATCGCCAAAACACTGCTACAACAGCATGGTTGTCGTATTGCTTCTCTTTTGAAAATTCTCCCCAAAGAAATTCTTGTAATGCCTATAGTATTAATTTTACAAATACATATTTGCTGCTGCTCTGACTTTTTATATCATTTTGTAATATTTTTAATCATAATAACTATATTTGATTGTTATTGGTAAGCACAAGTATAGAGAATATCTCATCCACAGACCAGGAACAGTTGCATGGATTTATATACTAACTGCCTGTTTATTTCCTAAGTCACCTGTTTCTCCAGGTAGGAAAAATCACTTATCTACAGCTGGGATAGGATGACTTAATTCTGCCCTTCCCAAAATGCTGGAATTCACCTCCCTTGCTAAATTGATCTTCCTCCCATTGGCTCTGATTGTTCAACATTTAACACTTCTAACAGGAGATAAATAAATTGCATACTGGATGTCCATTGTCTTTTTTACTTTTAAGTGATCTGTCTGTCTGTCTGTTTGTCTGTCTGTCGCTACGATGATATTTTCTCTAAATTCTGCCCAAATAAGCCTTGGAATTGTTTAGACTTCCAATTTGCCGATGCGGCCGCCATGGACGTTTGGAAGGCGAGCTCCGTCTTCCACGTCCAGTTTCGCTTCACTGGGGGACCTTGGAAAGGGTTGAAAGTCGCCTTGTAGGGGCCACCAGCAAGGAGGGGATCCCCGCTTGATTCAGGGAAGGCGGTAGCCCTTCTATTTGATCCAGGGCAGCCCTCCAAACCGGTGGACAAAAGACTGGCCATAGAAATATGGCTCATCATTAGGCTGCAGACAGCCGAAGTCACATTCACCATCAGGCAACTATAAAGCAGCACGGAGGAGACTGAGATCTACCTCTCTTAAATCCTAACTATCTTTTTTACCTGCATAAACTGCTCAAAGTACTTTCCCCCCTGTGGAGAGAGAAGGGAGATTCTATCCCTCCCTCTAAAAACAGCGGTGACTGACTATCCAGGGGAGTTTCAAAACGTTGCAAGAATAACTCCTAATTGGAATTTTATTTTTTTAACGTTTGTGGACTAAAAGATTTTTTATTCTTACTGAAGATCTGGACTTTTACTTACAAAAAAAAGTAAAATTGAAAAGATTATAACAATTTTGGACTTAAAAGAAAACTCTAAATGGTATGGGCGACATCTTGTAGCTAAATCTGATATTACAACTTGTTATTGCTTAAAAGAGACTTGGCCAGCCCAGCCCAGACTATAGATAAGACTTTTGTAACCTTGAAATATCAGCTGTGAGAAGTCCAGCTGTGTTCTATACTCAGTGACAATTTTTTTTTTGCATTCTCTGATTGTAAAGCTTTTAACCTAATACACAACTAAGAGAATATGAATGAAGATCAGGAACAGATTCTCTTTATGTTGAAAGCAATCTATGAAACTATTCTTACAGCTACTGATGAAATAAGAAGTTACAGAAAAGAACAAGATGTCAGCCCAGATATACGAACTCAAACTTTGGTCACAACTTAAAAATCAACTACACAGAATATAGTAGAAAAAGTGGAACAATTAAATATTATAACAGAAGATTCAACTGATCAACAAATACAGTTAATGGAAAACCCAGAAAAGGGACTGACAACATGGAAAAGGGAAAAGACTTCCTATATAAATCAGAAGAAACCTGAGAATCAAGAAGAAGAACAGACTGAAAAGAAGATAAACACTTCAGGACAACTACGTCGAGTTGGAAAAATAGACGATTTGTTAGTCCTCTCAAAAAAATGGCGACTGGATGGCTTTTCCTACTTCAAACAATATACATAACAACACAGGGAGATTTATTTGATGACTCAAAAGCAGAACATGGAAGACAATTTGGCAAAGAAAGAAAGCTAGAATAAGGCTGAAGAAAATTGGGCCTTTGACTTATCAGTGAGAATTAAAATAGAACATACTCAAATAGATAAGATACTAGGTATTTTGAATACTAGATATTGTTATGAGTTGAGATAAAGACTTGGAAATATAAATATTAACAGTTAAATTTGAACATTGATTTGCTTATAAAGGTTAAATGTAAAGGTAATTAAGATATATATAAGCTAAAAACCTATTGAACGTAATAAATATGTTTTTACTTAGCAGTAGTATTAAAAATTACTAGCTTAAATATGAGATAGTAGATATTAAGAGAAAAAGAGAGGAAGTATTAAATGTTGAAATAAGAAAAATTTTGGTTACTAAATTTAAGATATTTGGAAATTACCAGAAAATAAGAATGTTATATTGCAGACATGTCAAACACAAGGCCCGGGGGCCGGATGCGGCCCACGAAGTGGTTTCATGTGGCTCGCGAAGCCATCCGGCCGGGAGCCAATGTGCAATTTTGTGGTGGCCATCTATGCTGAAACACATTCAGTCTTAGCTCCACAAGGCCGTCTAGAAACAGCGAGGAACTAGCCCCTGCCGTGTCGGCCTCGCCCCCTGGGTGCATGCTGGGGAGGTGTCACCCTTTATGAGGAATGAAGAAATGGACCATGCCTTGGTGCTTGCCCGGTCCTACCATCTTCTGCCAGAGACCCTCAGATCTGTCCCACGCCTGTCCAGGCCCCCACAGGCACCCTTGACGTGAACGATGTAGAGCTGGCCACACACACCCGCCCCCCCCCGAGAGCAACTGCAATGCTGATGCGGCCCTCAGTGAAATTGAGTTTGACACCCGTTATATTGTATTATTAATTAGTTGATGTAAGATGGTGAGAATTCAAATAGATAAGACATGTATCCTGAACATTAGATCTTGTGATAAATTGTGATAAAGGGAATTGGGGTTATTTAAAACTTGGAAATTATAAAACATTAAATTTAAATATTAATGAGAAACTAAAAATTGGGAAAAATTTATTAGGACATTGTCTGTCTAAAAAGATTGAATGTTGAAATAACTAGGATATGTATAAACTAAAAATTATTGATAAATGTAAGAAAGCTATTTTTATTTAATCGATATAAGAATTGTTTAAATATGAGACAGTAAATACCAAGGGGAAAAGAGAGGAAATATTTAATATAATAGTTTAAGATTTGTACTAAAAATATTTGTATGTTATTAAATTATTGATCAACTTAGCCGCCATGTTGCTTTTCAAATATTTAAATGTAAAACTAGAAAATCAATAAAATTTTCTTTAAAAAAAAAAAAAGCCTTGGAATTGTTTTATGGTTCTAAATCAATAACCACAAAGTATGGGTTGTAGTAGAAACTTTTGAGAATTATAGCTAGGAATTCAAAGGCATCTGCCTTACCTGTGCAGTGAAGAAAGCAGGAGTCAAGGATCCTGAGGGAAGCGCGGGGCTATTGAGGGCAATAGAGCCGAGATCAGTACTTGAAAGAACCATTGGAGGTGCGGAGATTTCTAAGCCTTTGGGTTTCTTAGCCTTTGGAGGAAGAGAAGGAGATTTTATTTTGGATCCTGAAGAAAGATTCAGTGGCTCAAGAGAATCTGAATCCTGGCAAGTAGACTCCAAATAGATATTTCTGTGTTCTGAAGAAAGGGGTGAGTTAGGTGACAGAGATGGTGATCGAGAGGAAGTTGATGAAGCTGAAGATACGCTTGTTATGTTGGGTAACATTAAGGATGATATTTTTGCAGAGACAGAGGATGCTAAAAATGTAGAAGCATTTGCTGCTTCAGATGTAGATGGCAATGACACAACAGGCCTCATGACTTGTTTGTCTGTTTTGTTTGTCACAAATCTAATAACAGTCCGGACTTCTTCCAGAGGTGTGGCTTCTTCCAATTTTTCTTCCATCTTTTCGGTTTTAATTTGCTTGAGAGTTTCTGGCTGATTTTGTAAGGAATTGATGGTGAAAGACGAGTACAGCCCTGAATGAATGTATTCGTTGCGGCTTGTGCCTTTCAAGACTGGGAGGCCATGCTTATGCTGTTCTCTGCTCTCCAGAGGTATCTTGCAGTCGCTGTCCTGCAGCAAAAGGCTTTCCCTGCTGATTTCCACAGCGTGAGGATCCATCTTTAAGATTTCCGGGAAAGAAACAAACTTGTACACAAACTTCTGACCAATCACCTTCTTGATAATGTTCTGCACAAAATATCAAAGCAGGTATGAAAGAATAGTGTAAGTGATTTGACAAAGTAGTTCAAAGTAGTACAAGTGACTGACTAAAGAAAAGGCCCCAAGTTCAATCCTGGCACCTCTGGATAAAAATATTGGAAGAATGAGATTGTCACAGACTTCCAAAAGCTGTTGTTAATTCAATCACCAGCACCGGGCTTTATAGTCAAAATGATTTAATGCAAGATTTGATAAATTTAGTTACTAACAGCTCTTCACAGAAAATTCAGGGATTCTGTTATTCTTTTGCCACTCACCATTTCTCCTGTATTTTCCCCTTTCTTTTCTAACTTTCCAAAACATAATTTTTAATATACTCAAATACTGTTCTTTCTTTTTAAGCTATATGCAACATTGTCTTTTCTTAATACCCAGGACTATTATACTTTTTTAATGTACTCATTCTATATTCCATACTTAGCAATTTGCCTAACAGCGATATATTGGATGGGCACCATTTTAATTACCCCTAAAATGCTCTTAAAAGAAACCAAAGACATTACAGGATTATAATATAGGTAGTCCTTGACTTAAGACCACAATTGAGCCCCAAATTTACGTTGCTAAGTGAGAAATTTTTAAAGTGAGTTTTGCTCCATTTTACGAGTTTTCTTGCCACATTTGTGAAGTGAATCACTTCAACTGTTAAATTAGTAACACAGTTGTTAAGTGAATCGGGCTTCCCCATTGACTTTGCTTGTCAGGAGATCACAAAAGGTGATCACATGACCTCGGGACACTGCAACCGTCATAAATATGAACCAATTACCAAGCATCTGAGTGTAAATCACATGACCATGGGGATGCTGCAATGGTCATAGGTGTGAAAAATGATCGTAAGTCATTTTTTTCAGTGCCACTGTAACTTCAAACGGTCAATAAATGAACTGTTGTAAGTCAAAGACTACCTGTACCATATGCTACAGGTAGTTCTCAACTTATGACTGCAATTGAGCCCTAAATTTCTGTTGATAAGCAACCCTTCTTGCCACAATTGCTAAGTGAATCTCTGCAGTTGTAAAGTTAGTAACACAGTTGTTAAGTGAATCTGGCTTCCCCTTTGAATTTGCTTGTTAAAATGTCGCAAAAGGTGATCACACGATCCTGGGACACGGCAACCGTCATAAATATGAGCCAGTTGCCAAGTATCTGAATTTTGATCATGTGACCATGGGGATGCTGCAATGGCCGTAAATGTGGAAAACTGTCATAGGTCACTATTTTCAGTGCTGCTGTAACTCTGAAAGGTAACTAAACGAACTGTTGTAAACTGAGGACTACTTGTACAATTCTAATTTTTGTATTAGAGTATTTTACTACTGTACCACTATAACATAAAAGGGCTGTGAAACCCTTTGAAAGAAGTGCTTCAGAAAGCACAGAAGGGCATACAAAGTACCCCTTTTCAAATTCTTAAGCAGCTGCCCATTTTCATGTTCACCCAGCTGCTTCCCAAACACTCCTGGCTGTCTCTGCATTCAGGCATTAGGCAGAGCCAAGTGGCCTCGCTTGCAGATCATGCAGAGCCAGCTGGGAATTGCTTCCAAAGCACCTGTGTAAGCTTTCTTATAACATCGTGTTACTATAGTGCTATTCCAACATTGAAATTAATCTTTTATTTTACAATTAAAACATTTTAAAGTCATGTAAATTACATTAAAAAGGGTTTGTTTTGTTCTTCTGCAAAAAAATGTTACAGTTTTCAGGATAAACACTGAAATATGCAGCCAAGAATTAGAAAAACATATTTCCGCAAGTGCATTGAAAGGAAAGCATCCAAGTCTCTGGGTTGGAGAAACCAGGTACATTGTATATATAAGACTATTTTTCTTTACCTAAAATTAAAATTTTAAAATACCTTGTCATAATAGTATCTCAGAGCTCTGCTCAGTTTATCATAATTCATGTTAGTTTTATTTTTTCTGAGTCCCCACAGCTTAGCCACTTCTTCTGCCTTAAGTAACTTAAATTCACCATCATTGGATGTCCAACAAATCAGGTGTTCATGTTTCTGATCAAGAAGCAACTGCAACAGGAATTGCCACAGTGTGATTGCACTCTCCATGCCTACAATAAACCAAAATAAGAGGAGAATAAAGAGAATGTGAATATTGCTTCACTCAGAAACGGCCAAACCATGACCTTGAAATTTAGCCTACAATTTGTAGGACCTATTTTTGAGAAGTCCTTCATCTTGTTGTTCAGATTGACCCTGGAAAGAAAAATCATAGTAAACTATTAAAAAGCCACTAGCATGCTTTCCCCTAATTGCCACTGTAAAATGCATATAACGATTTAACGTAATTCATTTTTCTCAGTTTGAAAAAAGAAACAGAGGAAAAAGAGATAAAACCATGTCAGTTCTCATCCACTATTGGTAATATCACGTCACAACTATCATTAGCCAGCGCAGAATTTACTAAAGGGGCATAATTCTAGAAATGTAAACCAGTTACAAAAGAGATATACATCTGCCTTAAACTCAAATTAGTTTCAAACCCAACACATAGGTAGAATTCTATATGTAAGTATGTATGTACAAGTAGACCTCAACTTACAACTATAATTGGAACCAGAAAGTCATCATAAGTCATTACGGTTGTAAGTCAAGGAACCCATGTGACCAGAAGTAATTTTGATCTTTTTTGCTATGCTTGTAAGCAAATGTAATGGTTATTAAGCAAACACAGCAGTCATTAAGTGAATCCAAAAAGCATCACGAATCGCCGTCACGTGACTGTAGAATGCCATGACTGGCCATAAAGTTGACCTGTCAGACGTGGCCAGGGATGGTTTGCTTGCCACAAAGCACCAGTTCTGTGGCTGTCATAACTTTGACCAGTCATTAAACAACTGGTCATAAGTTGAGGATATTTAAAATATTTAAAATACCATTTTCTTGAGCACAGGTTCTCCTCAGGGCTGCGTCTTAAGTCCGCTGCTGTTCACCCTGTTTGATCCATTACTATTGTGCTAGGTTTGCCACCAACCATATTGTGAAGTTCGCAGATGATACAACAGTAGTGAGCCTTATTCAGGATGACAAGATGGAAGTTTACCGCAAGGAGGTTGATGGGTTGTGAACTGGTGTAAGGAAAAAGCCTAGTTTTAAATACCGGAAAAACCAAAGAGATCATTGTCGATTTCAGAAAAGGCAGGCACAGCCATACATCTCTGTGCATTAATGATTCACCTGTGGAGATGGCTACCAGCATCAAATTCCTGGGTGTGCAGCTAACAAGTAGGCTGGCTTGGTCGCTCAACAGCGAGAAACTGGTGAAGCGGGCACAGCAGCGCCTGCATTTTCTGCGTCACATGAGAAAAGCACATTTTCCTTCCCCTGTCCTGACCACTTTCTACAGGGGGACAATCGAGAGCATCCTGTCATACAGCATCGCAGTCTGGTTTGAAAGCATCACTGCTTCAGACAGGAAGGCGGTGCAGAGAGTGGTGAGAATGGCCAAAAAGATCATTGGCAGTTCCCTCCCTCCCATCCAGGACATAGCACAGAAGTGTTGCTTGAGCAGGGTCCGTAAGATCATCTGGGACACTACACATCCTCTTCATGACCTGTTTTCCTTGTTACCTTCTGGGAGGAGGCTTCATGGTATCCGTAGCAGAACATCCAGATTCAGCCATAGTTTCATTCCATACAGCATTAACCTTGCAAACTCTCAAGCTTCCTCTTTCTGTTATATATTCAAGATGGACAGTATTTAATATTTATCTGCTATGTATACGTAGGTATGTGGGTCTATACATATGTTGTACATAGTATGCTTAGGTGTGTGTCATGTATGTGTTTCACTTTGAGAGCGGGCAACTAAATTTCATTTTTGATGTGTGCCGTTGTGCCCACAGTAAAAAAAATGACAATAAAGGTTATCTTACCTTACCTTACCTTACCTTACCTTATCATCTTATCTTATCTTATCTTAAATATGTATTTAAAAAGTAGAGGTACAAAATAATCCCAATAACTAGTTCCAGAATTAGGATTTCCTGCCTGCGCAGGTGGTTGCACTAGAAGACCTTCAAGGTTCCTTCCAACTCTTGTTATTCTATTCTATTCTAAATTGCATTTATTCATGGTTTGTTTAACCAAAGTTGAATATTATGCAAATGACTGGAATCACTCATTTCCCCACACTAGAAAACTATGTTTTACAGTCAGGGCAACATGAGTTCACACAAAATAGTACACAATATACAAGCAAACCTTAAAATTGCTTATCACCACATATGAACTAAATTGGTTGTTCTAAGCCAGGGTCCGTGGACCAGTACCAGGCTTTGGCATGCTAGCAACTGGGCCACACAAACAAGCAAAGCCCTATCCACAAGATACAGACAGCACACAAAACCATACACCCTCCGGTCCGCAGAAAATCCTCTCTCCGAGGAACTGATCCCTGGTGCCCAAAAGGTTGGGGACCTCTGTTCTAAGCTTTAATCTGTTACAGGAGACTCTATAGTTTATTATTCTTGGCAATCACCATAAATCAAGGTGCCTTCAGACAGATAACAATACCACATTGTTTCAGAGTGTGCCACTGTCCTATCTCTTAATGTCTTGCTACAGAAAAATGAAGATGAAATTGGTAAGGAAGTATGGGCGAACTGCAAATGGAATTGCCCACCTTGTTACAGTTTGTTTATGATGCACCACATTGACTGAGCAACAACACTTCCGTTAAAACTTCAATATGTCCAACAGCTTCCCTGTGGAGACTGACCTGAGCCCCCTAATACCTTTTAGTAAGCTGAAACCATTTTTATTTCAGTGAACATGGTCCTCCTTTGACTTTTTAGCTGTTGCAATTAGTTGCAGTGTCTGACTTTATATTTTGCTATTTGTAGTAGTTCCATTGAGAACTCCTCAAGTATACTTCAGTGTACGTGGACAAATTAAGTTATTTAAGAAAATATGTGTCCATGGAAAAGTAAAAACCCTGAAACAGCATTTTCATTTAGTCCATAATAATTTCCAGTTTAAATAAACTATATTTTCATCAGTAAAGCATTAAAAATTCATTATGTATTTAAAAAAATCCAAAGGAGGCATATTACCCCTTGGAATTTTTAAAATTGTTTATTGTTTTGGGCATGATACTTAAAAGTATGGAAAATAACATTGACCACGAAATTGAATTCAACAGCAAGACTTAATGAATCCTTAGTTAATAATTACTTTACTCACATTTAGTTAACATTTTTGGTTAGATAGATAAAGTAATGGTAATAGATTATTCCTGACTCTAAAAATGTCTTTTTGTACAGACATACTGAATAGATTTTTAAAATATTATGTCACCTTAACATTACAAATGTCCTTATATAATTATGTGTATTTAACTTTGGTCCTTTATTTTTTCTGCTTTCCCTTTTAGTGCTTTTTTAAAACTATACATTTTTTTAAATTATCCTTTTATCATATTTTTGAATATGTTTAAACTCAGAGTCAGGCTTGGTTAGTACTTGGATCTGACGTACTCTTGGTGAATATTTAAATCTACCAGGAAATCGCAGAATTATAGACTCACCTAGCAAAGTTAAAAAATACTCTTGGCAAACTTTTCCTCTTGGTGCCCAGGTGACTGCACAGACCTGTCCGTGATGTCACCCAGAATCCAGCACATCGCCTGAGCTTTTAAACAAAGCTCATTGAAGATGTCTGCCACTAGATGGCGCACGATTTCTGTCTCTATATAACAACCCATTCTTTTGTATTTCTGAAGCAGTAAAAATGTCACATTTCTTCTGCAAGATCTTAGATAAACTACACAAAGAACCACTTCACATGATTTACAAGCGTATCAGGCCTTAGTGCAGCACAGACAGAGTTTTAAATTGCTTGTGTATATATACTACAGGTACATATATGTGTGTGTCTATCTGTGTATGTCTGTGTGTATAACACATATCCATATTTATGGCAAATAACCAAGCTATCAAAATGTTTTTTTTTAACTTCCCAAGGCTATTTATTGAGGAAAATACTGAACATACAAGAATATCTATTCCCACTTACAGCATTTTTATAGGCAAGTTGTTCATATCTGATTTTTTTTCACTGCCCCAAAAACTTAAAATTCCCCTACAGGGGCAACAAATGCCAATGGGGGATCAGAGGCAGGAGTTTGTCCCATTTATTGCCATCCATATAATGCAAAACAATAGAGGTTAAGTAAGGATTTTAAAGACGTTCTAATTTCTCATAATACTTTAGCAATTCAAGGTAAACTAACAGACATTGGGGGTAACCGCACTTCTGTACTAAGATAAAAGTAGCAGGAATTCCCTGAGGGAAGCTCAAAATCTTCCTTTACATAATCTGCAGTGTAGCACAAGCTATTTTGGACCCATTATGTGAAGCCTAGCTTTCTGGAAAAGTCTATATTGCTGGGAAAGAAAACCCAAAAAGAGGATGTGAGCAGCAAGTGAATTGCCTCCACTACAACAGTGTTCCATGCACCTAGGAATACAGTCATGCTGGCCAAGTAACCATGGAAATATCTTCGGACAATGCTGGCTCCCTAAGCTGGAAAGGGGAAATCTTTACCTTTACCTTTATAGCAGCAGTGAGTGCATATGGGAGGATTTTAAAAAACAGGTCAGGAATAGATTTTCCTGGAGAAAATCTATCCACCTGGACACTAAGAGTTAACATCAACTGGATGGCACATAATAGTACAGTGATGGCAAACCTTTTAGAGACTGAGTGCCCAAACTGCAACCCAAAACCCACTTATGCATCGTCGAGTGCCGGGTGGGTATATGGCCCATTGGCTGGGCGTGGCCCATTGGCTGAGCATGGCTGCAGTGGTAACGGCAGACTGGGTGGGGCTAAAAAGTTCAATCAATCAATTCCAACTTTGCAAGATATTTTTTTTCGACGCAAGAAGTTGAAATTGACTGATTGAACCTTTTTTTTTTTTTTTTGGCACACGGTGGCGGAGGCGGAGGCCTGAAGTGAAAAGGTTTTATAAAACCCAGCTGAAGGCCTAGGACTGGGGCGACGGCACATGTGCCCACAGAGAGGGCTCTGAGTGCCGCCTCTGGCACCCGTGCCATAGGTTCGCCACCACTGTAATAGTAGATTCAATACAGTACAACAGTACATTCAGTACAAGCTATACTTTTCTTCATTTAGACCAGGGTTTCTCTAAATTATGGGTCGTTATTCTTGGAGGGTCATCAGCAAGCATATTTTTTTAAAAAACTGCTTTATGCACAAAAATGGATGGACATTTCGATTCCCACTATGAACAAATGTCTACAAAAGTTGATGGAGCTGGCAGAGATGGCTAAATTGGCTGTTTTGATTAAAGAAAAGAATGCAAGTACTTTTGTTTCTACATGGAGACTGCTTCTGGACTTTGTGCTTGAGGTGAAAAAAAAATGAAACTTTGATTTTGGGTTTCACCAATTAGATTAATTTGTTGTCACAGAAATGGTCAGTTTATACTATTGTGAAAAAGTAAAAAGTTGTGGCTCAACATTAATGCTTTATTCTACTGCAACAGAGGAAGTCGGAAGTCAATGCCTTTTTTTTCTTTTTCCCCTCTTTCCCTCACTTTCTTTTCCTTTTCTCCTCCCCATTATATCCTACTATTTGCTTTATATTTTGTATTTTATTCTATAATTCAATAAAATCTTAAATAATAATAATAAAAGTAAAATAAAATAAACCTGCTCAGGCTTTTATTGGCAGACTTGAGTACTAGTAAAATTCACTCTAGAAGTTGCTGTTCATTTTGCTGTTTTTGAGAACCAAATTATATATAAATTAAAATCTAAGTAAAGGTATGATATACAAATTAAAATGCAATTATTAAAAGTAAACAGCACATTTATTTCTGGCCAAATGTAATCTAACTCCAATAAAATCATTAATGTTCTTAATAGAAGTTCAACCCAGGAAAAGTATAGTGAAATAATTTGTAATTTTTGCTATTTTGCACTCTGCAAAACATATATTAAACTGAGAGTTCATAATAACCCCTCCCCCCAAAAAAACCCATTTTAACCAAATCCCTTTTACCTTGAATTGATTCATTAGTATTTACCTATCATGTAGCAGGACATAAAACACAATGTAACAATCTCCATGTTGCATATGCCCTGTTCTAAAAGCCCAATAAAATATGGTCCTGTCATTAGAAAACATTAGCAAACACAAATTGTACCTTCAGACACTTCCCTATTTTCCCAGATGGTTTAAAGATTATAGCTTCATAGAATGTGTGGGTATGAAGAAATCTTGGGAATCAACTAGTCCAAATCTTCACCTAATGAAGACTCCACTACTATAGCATTCCTGGTATTTGGTCATCAGTCTTAGCTTAAGTACTTCTACCAAAGGTAAATCTGCTACTTCTCTAAACAGGCTAGACAGTTCCATTGTTAAACAGTTTTTAGGAATTTCTTCCAACATCCAGCTGAAATCTTCTCCCTGTAATATAAAATCTCTGACCCTTTTCTTCTTTTCTGATTATACTGATCAAGGCTAGTATAATATTCTACATAACGTATCCTTTGAGACACCTTGAGACAGCTATTACATCTCTCTTTAGACTTCTCTTTGTGTCCAGGCCAAACATACCCAAGGCCCCAAGCAATTTCTCTTTAAGTTTTTCTTTCCTGGCCCATTATCATCTTTGTTGCTGTCATTCAGATATGCTCCAACTTTGTAAATGTCTTTTGTAAAATGGACACAATATGACTAAGAGCAATGAATATTGACCCTCACATTGTACTTCTGTTGATGCAACTGCCCAGAGCTGCTGGGAGTCAGGTGGTACATGAATAAAACAAACAAACAAATACTGCATTTATAATGTTTGCAGCTGAATGACATTCATGTTCAACTCATGTTCCACTGAACTACCACGATTCTTTTCAAATGTACAGATGTCCAATATGGTCTCTCCATCCTAGTTTCATGTCTCTAACCTACCTAAATTAAAGACATTTTCTTTGTCCCTCTTGAAATTCATCTTGTTGGTTTCTGCCAGTTGTTCCTAAATCTTAATATTGTCCTCTAAGGTATTTGCTATCCCCACTATATTTATGCATTTGCAGATTTGCAGATTATGCTTTTAACCCTTCATCCATGTGATTTATTAAATATATTGAACTTCAGAGCCTAAAAGTATGTTCCTCTGAACTTTAGAGCTTAGAATTATGCCCATATGGCATGCTATCCCATCTTGACACTGAGACTTTGATTTACACTTGTTCAGCTAATTCTGTGTTAATTTAATAGTAATTATGGTCTGGTCCACATTTTGCAATGAGCCTTACTAAGCAATGCAATTTTTTCAACTATTTACAAACTGACTGCTTAATAATTTCTTCCAAGGTTTTGCCTGGTATCAGCATCCAGCTGATTACTCTGTAACCACTCTTTTAACCATTGTTTGTTTATTTGCAAATTCTATTTCTATAGGACCCCATTGGTACTTAATTCTGGGCAACTTATATGGGTTGAAAAAACAACAATATAAACAAGTCAAAAAAGACACAACCATGCCAGGGACCCATAACGATTCATAATAAACTATTCACACTCAGTCATGGGTTCTCATAATGTTCTAGACCAGTGCCTTTTGGAAGAGAGGAAGAACATTTGCCTGTCTCTGATCTCTTAGCACTATGCTCATCTTCTATGTTAGCTCATAGATCACTGGAGGGGCCCCAAGAATACATCCATAAGCTTCTTTATGACTCAGAGGGGTAAATGATCTGGTCCTCCAGTTTTAAATTCATTCATGGTAGCTGGATATTTCCTATGTTTTTATTTATCTTGAGTTGCCACTCTATCTTTGAATCAGATGTTCTATTTAGATCTTTCTGAAAAAAAATCCTTTTTGGGGAGAAGACCAAAGCAAAGAGACGAGGAGTTCTGCTCTCATTTCATTGTGTTACCATCTTATTATCTTTTAATATCAGACCACCACTCCCTTTTTCTTCCATTCAATACTGATACAACCAAAAAATGCCATTTTTATTGTTTTTAAAGTCTTTCAGACACTAATGTTAAATCTTCATTTATTAAATGATGTCCAGCAAAACTTTTTCTCTGAGCTGAGTGACGTAGGGCATTGTTAGTTTCCCATTCTCATTAACACTCACAGCTTCCGCTATTTCTGTAGGCTGCAGGCAGGAAATGAGAAACGAGACCAGAGGAAACCTGGCCATCTACATCTGTCCTTGTTTGCAATCTCAGCTCTAGTTTTATTTTGCTAAAAATCATCTCTTAACCCCCGACATGCCAATTCAATTTCTATTATATATTTAATCTTATACTGTTACTCTGCATTTTTTTCTTGATCATGCTACATAGTCATAATTAATGATAATGAAATGAGTTCCTCAAACTTGGTATCTCAGAAAATCCTGACCCAATGATGAGGTCATATATCATTGTAGATAATGTGGGTACCACATTACCTAAGCTATATTTAAACAAAGCTTCTGAATAGGCTATGTTTGGCAACATTCAGGCATAAAGCTAAGTTATAAATTTAAACCATGAATCATAACAGTTTATATCACAAATAAAAATATAGTTTTCTGTTAATTGCTAGGTTGACCCAATATGTTAAATTAAAAAAGAAACCAAACAAAAATACGCATTATGGTTTAGCCCAATATCTCAATCATAGTTACCTAGGTCTTCTATACTTGATAATATAGCATTACAAGTTCTCCTTCTTAAATTGGTGTTGTAGATTATTATTTATATTCAATCATTTGGTGAGAATAAATCTACTTTAATCTACTTATTTCTGGAATGAACATACACGGACAATAGGTGAGGAAAACTTACCAGATGAAACAAAGAAGATGCTTCAACAGAAACAATTTTCCATAAGGAAGATAAACAAAGGAACAAGCCCAGTGGATGAGAATCACTACCAAAAACAAGTGTCATAGAAGATATGCTGCATAACTTTGAGGCCCTCACAGAATAAATAACCTCTGATTCTTCAGAAGTAGAAAAGTCAACACTGTGGAACAGGAGACAGGACATTAGATCCCTGAAGAACAAACAGGATACAGTAGTGCCCTGAAAGTAGACAAAGAGAAGAGTTGATGACATCCTAGAACAAGGAACTAAAGCAAATACAGTACTGCAAAGAGCTATCCTTGAAGACTACTCATATACTGCAGTTGGTACAAATTACAGTGGGCAACTGGCTAGCTGACTGCCTGGCTTTCAAGAATCACCCTAGACATCTAGGCTATGGGCTCACTGTCTACTAACAGATTTTGAAGTACAATTTAAAGCACTGGTTTTAACAAAAAAAGTCTTATGTAGCTTGGTTTCTGTGTACCTTCAGAACAGCCTTGTTTATAGATATTCAAGCCCCCTGGTTTGTACTGCTGGAGGTCTGCCATTACTGAAAAGTCAGGGGCATGGCCCAACAGATGTTTCCAGTGCTTTTTTTGTAAAAAAAAAAAAAAAAAAAAAAGGTGCCGGAACTCACACACGTCATACAACCCACCTTGCCTACCCTACAAGGTTCCATCCCAAAAGGTGCCGGAACTCCGTTCTATGACAAAAAAAAGCCCTGGATGTTTCTATAGTGTGGACCTTAAGTTATGAGTAGTCTCCCCCTTGAGCCAAGCTAGCATAGACCTTCATGGCTTTCCAGAGCTTAGTAAAAATAGAGGCTTTCCAAATAGTATAGTGTGATAAAACACTTCAAGATTTATAAAGTCCATGGTCAATTATCAATTCTAGATAATACATATCAGAAAATAATAGTGCCAAAGGCAGCTAAACTGTATCACCATGAATGCTATATATCCAGAAAGCTCAAATGCATTCTCATTCACAAAATAGAATTTGAAAGGGAAAGAATAATTCAACTGAATGAAACTGTTTCATGAGATAAATTTGGTTTCTGGGACTATAATAAGATGTGGATCATAGATTACTACCACAGGATGTTTGAGTGTAATCAAGTCTGGTAAAAATATATCTGAAAAAACGCATAAAGTTGAATTGTGAACTAAATCCTGTATGGGTAGAATATGACATTCTTGAAGTAAGCATCCCTGCGAACTATGGAAAGTAGTTTTGAGTATTGCTGTAATGGAGCCACCAAAAATTAGAAAGATCATTGAACCATAAAATGCATGACTTTTGTTGTTGATATACTAATGTTCAGAGTATAGGAAATTTGGAATGTTGGAAAATTGTGTTTTACATCCATCCTAACTGTATGTGTCAGAAATATTTGCCAATATCTCAAATGATTGCCATTAAGAAGTTTATATACGAGCCATGGTAACACAGTGGTTAGAATGCAGTATTGCAGGCTGACTCTGCCCACAGCCAGGTTCAATCCTGACAGTCTTGAGGTTGACTCAGCCTTCCATCCTTTGGTAAAATCAGGACCCAGATTGTTAGGGGCAATATGCTGATTCTGTAAACTTCTCAGAGAGTGCTATAAAGCACTGTGGAGCAGTATATAAATCTATGTGCTAATGCTATTGCTATACAGGAAGATGGAAGCTTTTTCCAGAATTATTCTGATATATAATAATATGCAAAAGCATAAGGAGTGAGCTGGACATATCTTTATTGTGGCCCAATGAAACTGTATACAAACAGGACAATGGGCATATCAAAGCTATGTTCTACATCTATAGGAATCTCATAAGCTTTTCACAAAGTGAATTCTAATTCATCAGTACCTATGGTTCTAAAGATATATAGACCAAAAACTGTTTTTCTAGCTACATTTCATGTAATGCTTTTTAAATAATATTTTAAATTTATTTATTTACAGGTTTTGTATATAACTCACTCCCTTAGCAACTCAAGATAGTGACAGAAATAGAATCAAAAGAAATAAATTTAAGTCTAAATATTAATAAAATGATACATTTTGAAAGAATGGAAAGGCTTGGATAAACTAATGTAAAAGTGGCTTGCTTCAATCCTAATGGCAGTTTGTTCCACAACATTATCCCTGCACGAAGATAGCAATATATGTGTTAGTTTGCACAAGAGTAGTTGTTGAGTGCTATACTATGTAAGGTTTTATATTCCATGTGAGCAATGGAATGTAAACGTTTGGAAGGCAATTGCCAACCCAATGAAGTTGTTTCAATAAGGAAGTTTTGTGGCAACATCAAGAAGCACAACACATTATAATGCTACCACATTCTGGGCAAGCAGCAATTTCAAATGACCAGTAAGGTACATTCTAATAATCCTAATCAATATGAGGTAATTGATTTATAAGACACTCCTTACTAATGGTGTTACAAGGCTGTCCAGCATGAGTGCCAGATCCAGAAGGAACCAAAACTAATCCTTAAAGATCAGAATGAATTTTACCCTGACAACATTGCAAACATCCTTCAAGACTTGGCCAGTGTCTCAGGGCGTTGAGCCTCCATCGGTTTTTTTTTTTTTTATGTTGTATTTTTCTAATTGTGCATGATTTTGTCTTATTGGTTTCATGGTTCTTTCATAGAAGGCAGCCTCCACATTTAATAAAACAGAAATGGCTGAAATGGCAAAGATCTCGGCTTATTTGAAGAATCATTCAAATGAACAATTTTTATTAATATGGAGAAGATGGATTGTTTATATTCAAAAGAAGCATAGAATGGTGGAATATAATTTAGGTTTTTAGTTAACTTGTTTCTTCTTCTATATATTTCACCTATTCATGTAGAATAATATTTTGTGGAGTTAGGGATATTAATAGTAGTTTACTTATATCTGAATAGTATCCTGGGATTAGGTTTGGGAAGTCCGGGGGGTGGGTGGGTGGGGGGTGGGGTTTTCTTTATAGCATTGTGAAATATGTGTGATTTTTTTTTCTATGATGAAAACAATAAAAATTATACTTGGAAAAAAAATAAATAAAACAGAAGTGCACTCACATCCTGAAGTACCCCACAGCATTTTTCTTGAATTCTGAAGTTCAGCCCCTGGACTCAGTAACCACTCCATCTTGTCAGAATTGAGTTTTGTCAGTTTAGCCACATCTAGTCCTTTACAGCCCAGAAACATTCAATTATATAACATATAGTTATATAATAAAATCCTTTCTCTGTGGTTTCCTCGTTTCTCCATTTTTCACAAATACATTTCTTAATTGATGCAGTTTTCTCCATAGTTGGATTTTTAAAAGTGTTTTTTTTAAAAAAAAAAAAAAAATCCTGCTGAAACATTTTTTTAATCTGAGACAAAATTTAGTGATATTTTCAAAACCTAGCAACCATATTTCCAGCTAGAGTATTATCATACTAGTTCCCTACCAAGCCTCCAATATGTTGACACTGTAAAAATCTAAATCAGGACTTCCGCCTATTATATATTTCAGAGCTGTCTTTCTGGAAAAACCTGATAATAGCTAAAAAGTAGAAAGTCCTGCAGCACTATGCAGATCGTTGGCATTTAACACCAGACAAGTTATCAAGAATGTATGAAGGTATTTCAAATGAATGTTGGAAATGCAAATATAAAGAAGGGACTTTTTGTCATTTATGGTTGACATGTGATAAAGCAAAGAAATATTAGAGTAGGATTCATATTCTAATACCGAAGATTCGTAAAGTGAATATAAAGATAAAATCAGAAATTTTTCTTTTTGGTTTAATGGAAAAAGACCTGGAATTTTTGGGGGGAACTTTGATATATATGTTGACAGCAGCAAGACTACTTCATGAACAAAAATGGAAGGACACTTTGATTCCCTCAAATGGCTGCAAAAGTTAATGGAGTTAGCAGAGATGGCAAGTTGACTGCTTTGATAAAAGAAAAAAACAGTTTTGTTTTTACTTGGAAACCCCTTCTGGACTTTGTGCTTACGGTGGAAAAAAAATGAAACTTTGATTTTGGGTTTTACCGATTAGATAGATTTGTTGTTATAGAAATGGCTAGTTTATACTATTATATAAAAGTAAAAAGTTGAGGTTTGATATTACTATCTTATTCTACTGCACCAAAGGGAGTCAGAATTCAACACTTTTTCTTTCTTTTTTCCTTCTTTTCTACACTGTTCTCTTCCCTTTTCCCTCCTCTATTTTTCCTATTATTTGCTTTTGTATTTTTGTATTTTATATTATAAACTAATAAAAAGAATAATATAAAAAAGTAAGATAAAAATCTAAATCAGGACTTCCGCCTATTATATTTCAGAGCTGTCTTTCTGGAAAAGCCAGATAATAGCTAAAAGATAGAAAGTCCTGCACCAATAAGTATTGGAAATATTGTTACAAATTGTAGTTATCTTGCATTTTCCAAGATGGTTTCTGTAATTAGTAAATAGACAAATTGTTTGGCTAGACTAGTAAAATTTTAAGACAGAAGCAAAAGCCATCATTGGAATGAGTAGAGTAGGGTTCATCTATCTGCCTGCCTATCTCCATATCTATCTAAAACTATATATATCTATATCTATCTATCATCTCTGTCTGTCTGTCTGTCTGTCTATCTATCTATCTTTTCCATTTTTAAAGGATAAAATATAAGATTTATTAATTTTCTTAATTCTTCCAGCTTTTATGCCTCTTTACTTTTTTTAAAGAACTTTTCTCCTAGCGATAAAGTTCTCATTATTTATGACAGCTATTTATATTCCATGTTGCACGACACCAGTTCAGCCAAATTTACTTATAAGTCATATCAACAGTTATAATTCAAGATACAACAAAACAAAATATCTGGGTGAGAAGAAAGAAGAGGCCAACTTTTTCCACTCTCCTTTTCCATTCCCAGTACCACTTCATGGTTTGCCTAATGAGTGAAAAATCTAGAAAAACATTTTTTTTTTAAAAAAAACTGAAATTTCAGGAGAACACCAAACTCTAAAAAGATTTCTCTTGCTTTTAATATGTATTTAATATGTATATATGCTCCAGGAGAAGGGCCTGACATTTGCTAACATCACTAATGTTTATTCCAATTTGTGTAGGGTTTTTTTTATTTTAAAAACATTACTTAATACTTAATGTACTCTTGGTGTGTGTGTGTGTGTGTGTGTGTGTGTGTGTGTGNGAGAGAGAGAGAGAGAGAGAGAGAGAGAGAGAGGGACAAGA